TGACCACTCTTCAGGTACTGCTGCACGTTGCTGCTCACCGTGACTACGAGCTGCACTCTCTCGACTTCAGCACTGCTTTCTTGCAGGGCAGCCTGCACGAGGAGATCTGGCTGCGCCGCCCACCTGGCTTCACTGGGTCGTTCCCTCCTGGTACCAAGTGGAGTCTCCGGCGTCCAGTCTACGGTCTCCGCCAGGCGCCACGTGAGTGGCACGACACACTGAGGACTACACTTGCGGCACTTGGGTTTGCTCCTTCTACTGCCGACCCGTCACTGTTTCTGCGCACCGACACCTCTCTGCCGCCGTTCTACATCCTCGTGTACGTCGACGACTTGGTCTTTGCCACAGCTGACACTGCTGGACTCGCCTACGTGAAGTCCGAGCTGCAGAAGAGACACACGTGCACTGACCTGGGTGAACTGCGCAGCTACCTTGGCTTGCAGATCACCCGGGACAGAGCACGCCGCACCATTACCCTGACTCAGTCACACATGGTGCAGCAGGTCCTTCAGCGCTTCGGCTTCACGTACTCCTCGCCTCAGGCCACTCCTCTGCCTACTCGCCACTCGCTCTCAGCTCTGCCTTCGGATGAGTCCGTAGAGTCGAGTGGCCCGTATCCAGAACTTGTTGGCTGCCTCATGTACCTGATGACCTGCACACGACCTGACCTTGCATACCCTCTTAGCATTCTCGCACGCTATGTTGCTCCTGGGAGACACCGACCAGAGCACATGGCTGCAGCGAAGAGGGTGTTGCGCTACTTGTGCAGTACGTCAGGCATGGGGCTAGTGCTTGGAGGGCGGAGTCCAGTGGTCCTCACTGGGCACGCGGACGCTTCTTGGGCTGACGACCAGGCTACGCAGCGGTCGTCACAGGGTTACACTTTCAGTCTTGGTTCCGGCTCTGTTTCGTGGCGGGCTACCCGCTCGTCTTCTGTTCTCGGCTCCACTTGTGAGGCTGAGATCTACGCCGGGGCTATGGCTGCCCACGAGCTTCGCTGGCTCACCTACCTGCTGACCGACCTTGGAGAGCCTCCTCGTTCTCCTCCTGTCCTGTACGTAGACAACAAGGCCATGCTGACCTTGTGTCGAGAGCAGCGACTGGAGCACAGAACAAAGCACATTGCTCTCCGCTACTTTCTTGCTCGTGAGCTACAGCAGCGTGGACAGTTGCGGCTTGCGTACGTGGCCTCTGAGGCCAACACTGCTGATGTCTTCACCAAGGCACTTGCGCCTTGTGATCATCAGCGCTTCTACACTCAGCTGGGTCTTGTGCCTGTCTTGCCTCACTTGCTCACTTCTTGACCTTGCTTGTACTGTCACATATATATACTCTTGCTCTTGCTTGCTTAGCCTCTTGTATATATATATATATATATGTGATCTTGCATGTGAACTGGCCTTCTGGCCTTTGAACTTGTGCTCGGAATGTGTGGTGACTTTGTGATCCACCCTGAGCTTTGCTTTGCTTTGCTTGACTGGTCTTGTGACCCCTTGTTCTCCCCCACTTTGCCTATGGGGGTGTGTCAGAACATTATAGCTTATATATTTGTGTAGGCTATAGTGGGGTATCCCATAGGGGGTACAACCCAATCAGGGTTTCCTATATGTACTCACTTCATTCATAGTTCATCCACTCTCGTTCTAGTTTCTTTCACACGAGCGTGAGCGCGAGTTTCTGCTTGACCGCGCGTTGTTTTCTGAGGCACCGTCGTCTCAGGTGCGTTTACGTTTTCCGGACCTATTACCTCCCTCCTCCCTCCGAGAATTCCTGTTTTCTACTTTCTTCGGAAGTTCTCTGTGCCAATTGGTTTCCTTTTAGCATTGCGCTCCCACTGGTTTCCTCATTAGCATTGCGCTGGCGCCCTGCGCGCTAGCGCCCTGCGCGCTGGCGCACTGCGCGCTGGCGCCTAACGCGCTGGCGCCTTGCGCGCTGGCGCCTTGCGCGCTGGCGCCTTGTGCGCTGGCGCCTTGCGCGCTCGCGCCTTGGGCGCTCGCGCCTTGCGCGCTGGGGCCTTGCGCGCTGGCGCCTTGCGCGCTGGCGCCTTGCGTGCTGGCGCTTAACGCGCAGGCGCATTGCACGCTGGCGCCCTGGGCGCGAGCGCCTTGCGCGCTGGCGCCTTGCGCGCTGGCGCCTTGCACGCTGGTGCCTTGGGCGCTGGCGCCTTGCGCGCTGGCGCCTTGCGCGCTAGCGCCTTGCGCGCTGGCGCCTTGGGCGCTGGCGCCTTGCGCGCTGGCGCCTTGCGCGCTGGCGCCTTGGGCGCTGGCGCCTTGCGCGCTGGCGCCTTGCGCGCTGGCGCCTTGCGCGCTGGCGCCTTGGGCGCTGGCGCCTTGCACGCTGGTGCCTTTCGCGCTCACGCCTTGCGCGCCGGCGGCTTGCGCGCTCGCGCCTTGCGCACTGGCGCCTTAGGCGCTCGCGCCTTGGGCGTTGGCACCTTGCGCGCTGACGCCTTGGGCGCTGGCGCCTTGCGCGCTGGCGCCTTGGGCGCTGGCGCCTTGCGCGCTGGCGCCTTGCGCGCTGGCGCCTTGCGCGCTGGCGCCTTGGGCGCTGGCGCCTTGCGCGCTCGCGCCTTGCGCGCTCGCGCCTTGCGCGCTCGCGCCTTGCGCTCTGGCGCCTTGCGCGCTTGCGCCTTGGGCGCTAGCGCCTTGCACGCTGGCGCCTTTCGCGCTCACGCCTTGCGTGCTGGCGCCTTGGGCGCTGGCGCCTTGCGCGCTGGCGCCTTGGGCGCTGGCGCCTTGCGCGCTGGCGCCTTGGGCGCTGGCGCCTTGCGCGCTGGCGCCTTGCGCGCTGGCGCCTTGCGCGCTGGCGCCTTGCGCGCTGGCGCCTTGCGCGCTGGCGCCTTGCGCGCTGGCGCCTTGCGCGCTGGCGCCTAACGCGTTGGCGCCTTGCGCGCTGGCGCCTTGCGCGCTGGCGCCTTGCGCGCTGGCGCCTTGCGCGCTGGCGCCTTGCGCGCTGGCGCCTTGCGCGCTGGCGCCTTGCGCGCTGGCGCCTTGCGCGCTGGCGCCTTGCGCGCTGGCGCCTTGCGCGCTGGCGCCTTGCGCGCTGGCGCCTTGCGCGCTGGCGCCTTGCGCGCTGGCGCCTTGCGCGCTGGCGCCTTGCGCGCTGGCGCCTTGCGCGCTGGCGCCTTGCGCGCTGGCGCCTTGCGCGCTGGCGCCTTCGGCGCTGGCGCCTTGCACGCTGGCGCCTTTCGCGCTCACGCCTTGCGCGCTGGCGCCTTGGGCGCTCACGCCTTGCGCGCTCGCGCCTTGGGCGCTGGCGCGTTGCGCGCTCGCGCCTTGGGCGCTCGTGCCTTGCGCGCTGGCGCCTTGCGCGCTGGCGCCTTGCGCGCTGGCGCCTTGCACGCTCGCGCCTTGGGCGGTGGCGCCTTGAGTGAGCTGTTGCTGCAGTGAGCTCACGCCTTGCTGCAGTGAGCTCACGCCTTGCTGTAGTGAGCTCACGCCTTGCTGCAGTGAGCTTACGCCTTGCTGGAGTGAGCTCACGCCTTGCTGCAGTGAGCTCACGCCTTGCTGCAGTGAGCTCACGCCTTGCTGCAGTGAGCTCACGCCTTGCTGCAGTGAGCTTACGCCTTGCTGCAGTGAGCTCACGCCTTACTGCAGTGAGCTCACGCCTTGCTACAGTGAGCTCACGCCCTGCTGCAGTGAGCTCACGCCTTGTTACGACAGCCCGCTTGCTCCTCTGGCAGTGCCTTGCTGCATCTCTCTCGCACCTTGTAGCATGGCGATGCCCAGCTCGTTGCACCAAGGCACCTTGCTCGCTGGAGCCTTGATGCACACCAGCGTGGTGTGCGTGACCCCAGGGGATCTATGCTTCAAACCACGCTTGTGAGTCGTCGAATTCGGTTTTCTTTTGTACTTATCATATTTCTTTCAAGTTCCATTTCACAATCAAGTGCGTGTTCGTCATTGAATAGTTCACTCCGTTTTCCGACTACAACTCATTTTCTGCTTGACCTGATTGTTTTGCAAGGTGTGCGAGACGCGTCGTGGGGAGCAGGGAGGGATCGAGAGAGAAGACAATGTGGAAAAGGGTGGGAGGAGATTTCGATGGTTGAGGGAGAGGAAGGAAGGTAGAAAGGGGGAGTAAGGGGGGGAGAAGGTAGTAGTGATTGATACATAAGTAACTTTTTGCAACTCTTTGTTATGCTTGTCTGCTCTCAATCCTATTTGTGTATGTATGTGTGTGCGGTGCGGGTGTGTTTGTGCGGGTGTGTGTTCATGTCTTGTCATTGTGTTTGTTTCACTGTGGGGTTTTACATGCGTTTGTATTCGTGTTTGTGGGATGTGTGTTTCAAAGTGTGGTGTTAGTATGCGTTATGTATGCAATTAGAGGTTGTTAATCGCCTTTGGGGCAGCGTGTTTTTGCTGTTTCAACGACCCCATCAACCTCTGTTGCTACATGATGCATTTTAACATTTATTTTGAAGCATTCACTCCACCTCATACCTTGTTGTTCATTTGTACAATGCATTCGTTCATGTCGATGCCAGAATATTATGCTCGGCCGTATAATCCGCTGTATTGATTGACGAGGTTGTGACGGTCGAGCAAGTTCATGGTTTCAACATGATACGCATGTGCTTACGTGTTTTGGGGATCTCATTCAATAATGTTTTTTATCCACTGTTTGAGGCATCTGTTTGAACACAGTTTCAAAACATTCAAACTAGTGTTCCAAAAAGTGTATAAATAACACTCTTTGAATGATATCCCCAAAATGTGAAACCAAATATAAAGGGTTGCTACGCAACCTAAAAAGGTGATGATAATTCCTATTTTTATAGTTACTAAAGTTGCTGCATGGGCCGAAATCACTAACGAGTTAGTGTTTAACGATTTAGTGCTTCACAATTACCCCTTCAGGTGCATGAAAATTCTCGACAGGCCCTGTTGGATAAACAAGACTGTTTCGAGACGCCTTACAAAGCCCAGGAGTTTTTCAAGGTTAGCTCTTCTTCTTAGCAGCCGTCATGCGAAATCGTACGGCACTCGACTCGCGGCAGCATGACCCGATCCAAGCAGCGGGAGAGGCAGTCGACAGAGGCAGCGCTGTCCGCGGGTGGCGATGGCGCAACCCCAATCCTCCTCTTCCGCATCGCCATTCCCGAGGTAAGAGAAGATATTGTGGGATCAGTAGGTGCGATTGATAGGCAGCGATTCGCAATTCTTGCACGACGCGACATGCTCAGCTCAGGCGTCATGGCCCTACCTTTCAATGTGCTCATCTCCGTCCGTCCGTCCGTGCTCGCCCCACCCTGCGCCACTCACTCCACGCATGACCCCTCGTCATTCCGCATCCTTCAACCCCCCTCAACGCGTCGCATCCCCGTCATGGCGTCGCAATTCCCTCTTCCCGCGCCTCTCGCTGAGCCTCGCGGCGCCCAGCGCCAGAAGAAGTCGTGGCAGACCGCCTTGTGAGCATCCAGTGGGCGGCAGCGGCTGTCCTTTTCCTGTTCTTCGGCTGCCCGATCTTCCTCCCCGCACCTCCAACCGACTGCCAGTACCTCGCGCCCTTACTCTCCCCCTCCGCCTCTGCCTCCCCCCCCAGCGCCCCTCCGCCATCCTCCCCCCTGCACCACTGCGCCATGGGGTATGCCGCCACCGCAGGCGTCGTGGGGGGCGGAAGGCCAGGGGCAGCGCGGTACGTGGTGACAGTAGCGGATGATGCTATAGAGGGTGCGCCTGAGGGGAGTCTCAGGTGGGCAGTGGCGAACCTTGGCGGAGGGACCGGGGGAGGGCCCGGCGAACGGCAGGGGCTGTACGTGACGTTCAACCGGTCGATGACGCTTCGGCTCAAGTCGCGCCTGTTCCTGGCGTCGCACACCACAATTGACGGCCGGGGCGTGCGTGTGAGGCTGCTGGGCAACGGCTTGGTACTGCAGAACGTGACCAACGTCATCATCCACAACATTGAACGTGAGAAACAAGCTGTGCTGCTGCTCACTTGCCTCCTTGCTGACCACTTCCCTTCTGCAATGTTCCCCAATGCAAGCCAGGAATATTTACAGCGACCCACTTCAAGTGCTTGTGATATTCTGCGTTCGCTTCTCATCGTGTGTTTCTTTCCCTCTGTTGTGCTTCTCTGCAGTTGGGAACCAGCCTGGGGATCATGATGTGCTCCCCATTCGCAGCAGCCAGGTGGTGTGGATCGACCACTGCCATGTGTACAACGGCCACCGCGGCACTGTAGACGTCGTCTACAACTCCACGGATGTGACTATATCGAATTGCCGCATCCACAACCACCGCCTGACCATGCTCCTGGGGGCGGACGACTCGCACGAGTACGACCGCAACATGCGCGTTACGGTGTATCGCAACTGGTTTGAGAAATCCGGGCAGCGCCAGCCGCATTGCCGCTGGGGGCAGTGCCACGTGGCCAACAATTTGTACACCGATTGGGCTTTCTACTGCCTCGGTGGGAGAGTCTTTGCTAAGATTCGGTCAGAGGCGAATGTTTTCCGGGCAGGGCGGGCACGGAAGGAGGTGACACCGTGGTTTGGAGAAGCAAGCTTGACGACTCCTGGGTTTGACAATACGCCAACTATCCTGTCGTATGGCGATTTGCTTTTGAACGGAGCTACCTTTCACCAGTTTCAAGGGAAGGAGCCCATGTTTGATCCACCGTACCGGCTTCCTCTCTATGATGCCTCGGCTCTCATGGAGACATTCCTAAGGCAGAGTGCCGGCCCACAGTACCCATTCAAATTCGTTAGATCTTACTTTGACTGGGATGCCAAATCAGTGTAGCAGTAGCGGTGTAGCGGTTGCTGAGAATAGCACTGTAGATAATCCAAGAAGTGGTTACTGTACTGTATAACATTGCGCTCGCGAGGAATGTCATATCAGTCGCGTGCCTTCGTGTGCCAGCAACGAGCCACGTCTGTCGCAAATCGTCGTCTCGCCGTCGCAGGCAATTGTGGCGGAGAAGTGAGCCTCCCCTCCCTGCCACGCAGCCACGCAGGCATATTCCCTTCCGCCAACCAACCTTTTCCCGTCCGCTCCGCTTTCCTCTCCGCCAGTTCTCCATCTGCGCGGACTTGCTACGAAGCCCACTCCACCAACCTCAAGAACCATTTTAGATCGTAAGGAACCCAACTGAACCGTATGAGGCAAACACGACATGAACGCGCTGTATGCCCTTTTTTTTTGGTACCCCATTTTTCTCGGACCTCGAGCTTTTCCTAGCTATTCCTAGATTCTACCGCTTTCTTCACGTTTGTGCGTTCCACTCACACTAACCTTAGGTTCCGTAATTCCGTAACTGCCGCTCGCGCTTCGAAGTGCTCGTTCCAGCATGGCCTCTCGCGGAGGAGCAACGCCGTCTAAGGGCTGCCTGCAGCGGCTACAGCGAGAAATGAAATTAATTACCAAGGTGCTAACTCCTTGTCTCCAATTCTCCAAGTGCCTTGAAAATAGTGCTGACGCTTGAAACACCGAGCCGTTGTTTTCGCCGTTGCCTGATAGTTCTCGTCGCTTTTTCCCTCGAGTTCACGCGTTAACTTGTCGCTCCATTGGATGCGGTCGCTTAGATTCTATCTTAAGTTCCCATTCGGTGAGCGGTTGGTCTAAGCCGGACTCTCCTTGTTCTCCCGCGCCTTGCGGTGCGACCCGCATCGCCTCTATTTCAGGAGCCGCCGCCGCACGTCCGCGCGAAGCCAAACCCCGCCGACATGCTGGACTGGCGTGAGTGGCCGCACCCTGCATAGGCGTTCGCACTGGCCGTCCCTTTCAGCTCTTTCCGCGCGCTCCTTGGCTCCTTCGCTCCCGCCGTCATCCCTGTCCTCCTGCTGTCATCTTCCCGCGTTCTTCCGCCGGCTTCTCACATTGTTCACTTCCACGTCAGCATTCACTATCTGACGTCACCACCTCCAATGCTTCACCACCTTTTCTTCTAAGCGTTTTCTTCTCTCGCCAATCACCACCCTCCACCCACCCCCTTCCCCCCACCCTTCCCCCCCGCCTCCCCTCCCCCTCCCCGTCCTCTCCGCGCGCCAGACTTCGTGCTGGAGGGCAGCCCCGGCACGCCGTACGAGGGCGGGTGGTACCACGGACGGCTCAGATTTCCTGCCGATTACCCTTTTAAACCGCCGAGCATTATGATGCTTACCCCCAACGGACGATTCGCCACCAGCACTCGCATTTGCATGAGCATGAGTGATTGTGAGTGGGGCGGGCGACTGTGAGTGGGGCGGGCGGCTGTGGATGCTTTCTTTGCTGGTCAGCCTGCCGTTACGGTTTCGCACTGCTTCGCGGCCGTTTGCTTTCTCGCTCGATGACTTGCCAATTCCGCACTCAAGCCTCACGGCTCGTGTCCCTTGTGTCCCCTTGTGCGCGTGCCGTGGCGGTGTGCAGTCCATCCCGAGACGTGGAACCCCATGTGGTCCGTCGCCAGGTACCGCTCTCTTCACCCCTCACACCCTCGCTCCCCCCCCCACTCGCTCTTCCCACGCCGTTACTGCAACTCGCGTTCTGATTGCTCTGTGCTCTCGCTTCAAGCTCCAGAATATGTCTGCCTGCATTTCCCCCCCTGCCATCCCTCGCCTGCGTTCGTTCCTTTTCCTATCACAAACCCCTGTTGTTTCCATCACAAACCCCTGTTGTTTCCATCACACCACGACGCCACTCCAAGTCCTCGTGGTCTGACTGACCTCCATGCATGCCATCCTCACCAAATCCATCTCTCCCTCCATCCCGCTGTCCCCTGCCCCATCGTTCGCAGCATTCTGACCGGCCTTCTCTCCTTCATGGTACGTGCTGATGAGGCGCTGTGCTCTTGCAGTACTGTGCGTGTTTTTCCGGCAGAGCCGCACTCACATGTTCACGCTCGCTGGCAGTGCGTCCTCGTTCTTGCGTTCAAGCAGGCTGTGCTTAGAAGACTACTAAGAGATGTGTGATTTGCCATGCGCACTCACATCACAGATTAGCGTTGCCTGTTGTGCTGTGATGTGATGTGCATTCAATGTCCACTCACTCACTGGCGTCCATCCATGCCCGTTATGTTCCCTGCCCACCTCTACCCTTGTTCCATCTCCTCCCCTCTGCCTTCTCCTGTGCACAACCCCCCTGCCCCCCCTCTGTTCCCCCCCTCCCCCCTGTGGCCAGTCGGACGATGCAGTGACGGCGGGCAGCATAGTGGCGTCGGAGGCGGACAGGCGCAAGCTAGCGCGCCTCTCCATGCCCAACAACTGCCGCAGGTACCGCCCTCGCTGCCTTCCCTGCACATCCCATTTGCCTGCCCTCGTTCCCCTCGCCCTTGTTCCTCTCGCCCTCAGTCCATGTGGATTTCTCTCAGCAATCCGTCATCTGTTGGTCAACACTGCATTTCTCCCTCTTCACTTCCCGTTATGTCTGTTGCTCCAATCCCCCCCCCCCCCTTTTCTTCCCCCCTTCCCCAGCCCCGTGTTCCGCAAGCTCTTCCCGGACCTGGTGGACAGCTACACGGCATCGCTGGCATCGGCAGCAGAGGCAGCAGAGGGGGCAGATTCCGCCAGCAGAGCACAAGGGGATGGCGCAGAGGGGAGGGGGAAGGGTGCAGGGAAGGGCAGGCGGGTGGTGGAAGCTGCTGCTGCAGTGGTGGGGAGTCGGGAAGGGAAGGGCAGTGAAGGGGGGAGGGAGCTGAGGGTAGGAGGTCAGGGAGGGGCAGAGAGAAAAGAGGGGGGCATGCGGAGGGTGGTTAGAACAGGAGGGAAGACGGGTGTTGCTGGTGCGTTTGGTGCAGGGAAGACAGCAGAGGCAGGTGCAGCAGGGTCAGGCAGTGCGAGTGGGAAGCAGCAGCCTGGCCTGTCAAGCTTGTCGTTTTGGGTCACTGCTGCTGTTGTGCTGCTGTGTGGGTGTGTCATGGCGGTGCCGTTCCTTGATTCCTTGTCCTCCTCTCTGCTTCGGTTATCTTGACAGCGGACATGTTGCATGTCATATACGATTTTTTGTTTTCATGTTACTTGCATATCTTCTGACATCAGTTCAAACTGTTTGTACTTTCTGTAATTAATCAATTTATGAATGTATTGTATTTCTCGTAGCAGGACAGTTTAATCACAGGTTTCGTTTCCCCAATCGTGGCGCAACCTCCCAGTGCATCTCCAACCCCGCCTCTCACTCTCGTTGTAGGGCTTTGGAGGCTGCCGTGCAGGCCTGTCGAAGTTCCTGGGGCCCCTACTTGAAGTCCCCAGCTCCTCCCTATCTGACCCTGTTTTGGCCGTAGCTGAGTGTTTTGGCGCCCTTAACGGTCACGGGCGCAAGCCAAAGTGAAAACTTGAAATCCGGGCTTGCACTTACACTATCTTAGCTAAGGGAAAGTTCTGCTGCTCCAAAGCTAACTTTGAGATATCACAAACACGGGATTGGCTAGAAAACGCCAAGGGGAAAAACTCCCTTGGCTCGCTCTCGTGCAACCTAAGGAGAAAGGGGGGAGGAGTAGGGGGGGGGTGAGGCATAATTTCTTCGGGGGGGGGGGGTCCTAGAACCGGAAATCAAAACTTTTTGGGTGGGGAAGGCCTGATTGGAGCACTTAACGCATCCGGGGAAGGGTCGAACGAAGCACTTAGTGGCACGGGTGCAGGGCGATCCTAACACTTTATGCAGTCGAGCTGGAGCGAAAGTAGCCCGGAATTTCAGGGCATTAAGGGCATATGCCCGTCAATCAACAGGCCTGCTGCCGTGGCGTGCCCTACGCGTGAACAGCAGCTGAAGCCCGCTGCTGCATTTTCAACCGACGCCCGCTTCACCTTCATTCCTCGCGCACACGCTCGCTGCCGCTGCCACCTTGCAGTCCTTGAAACCTCCATCCCCAATCTTCCATATTTCCAGAAGTACATGATTTCCGAGTTACCAGTCATGACAGTTAGACACGTACCGAGGGTAGCACTGCTGCCTTCTTCGGCTCATCATTCGTGTTCGTCGCTTCTCTTTATCCGCAAGTCTCCTTCGCCTCAGCGCTCGCTAGTTGAAGGCACCTGCATCCGCTGCTTTCCTGCAGATTCAAGTCTCGAAAACCAATCACGCGTGTCCCTTAGTGCTGTCTCGTTGATCTGCCGTCCTCCCCGCGCCACGCCATGAAGAGCCCCAGCGCGCAGCTCTCGCACGCACTCACGCGCATCCACGCCGCCATGCACCGCCCGTCGTCCCCCGCGCAAGCGCCACTATCATCCCCGCCGTGCGCGGGGAGCCCTCCTGACGACGCCACGCGACGGTCTGCGAGTAGCCGGGCGTCGCAGGAGCGCACGGCTGAGTTGCTGCAGCAGTCGTTCCGACCTAAGGCGCTGCCATTAGCGCCACCCGCTCACGGCCGCGCGCCCATTCCGGGGATGCCTGATAGCGGTAGCGGGAGCGAACGGCGGAGGGGCGCGACGAGAAGCTGCAGCGGGCCGCGGGAGGGACGGTTTGGGGGAGGGCCGCCGGGGGGGACGGAAATTCCCGCGGCGCCGGGACGCGTGACGCTGAGGAAGCAACTGTCGAGCGACATCGCGCCGCTGCTGCTGCGACTGAAGCGGCAGGCCACGCCCACGCGAATCCGGAGCCAGTCGCCCGTGCTTTCGCCCGTGCAGTCGCCGCGGGACGTGTGGGAGGCTGCAGAGGCGGGGAAGCTGTTTAATTGGATGAGCAAGGATACGGAGTGTAATGCCACGCCAGCGAGAGCTGTTGTTGAAGAATCGGAGATTGTTTCTCTTCCCACAGCAAGGCCTGCTATTACAGTTGTGAGGAGGACGATTCAAGCCCAGTTGCAAGGGCAGCCATGGTCCCCAAACAGCACCTTGGAACCACCGAATGATGACCTGCCACTGTGGCGGGATGAGCAATCCCAAGCCCTCTGTTGTCACCAGGATTCACCCCAAGATTTTTTTGGGGTACCGATGGAAACAAGTAAATGTTATGCGAGAGACATGCAGCATGTATTGTGTGAGAGGAATCACACGCAGACGCTCCATCAACGACGCTCGTGCAGCCCATGCACATCCCAGAGAGGTGCTTCCTGTGAGGCAGCTCGCCAAATTCTGGTCAAGAATCCGTCATTTCAATCTAAAGGGAGGGGACGGCTTGCAGCAGCCATCACTGCAAGGCAGCAGCAAGTGGTGCAGGACCAGCGGCCAAGATGGAGCTTATAACCGGTAGGGGAACCTTTGTAGAAATAAGAGGCAGGTACTTAACATTTTGTTATTTACCAAATACATATTGTATTGTTCTGTACATAGAAATGAATATTAGAGTGGACTTGTTACTTGCTATGCTGCAATAATTGCTATATCGTGTAATTCCGCACCTGACAATCGTGTTCTATCGGAATCTTCTAGGCTGAAACTTGTACAGTGATAGTTCGGCTTGGCAGAAGGCACGGGTTTTGTCTGTGGTCTGTTCCGAACAATTGTCGAGCAGCAGCCTGCTTTTCCTTGGGACTGTCGAGGTTCGGCTGACCTACAGAGGGAGCATCAGGCGAGGCGAGTCGAGGCGAGACCAGGCGAGGCTAGGTGAGGTGATGATGGAAGGACCAAAACAGCAAGGTCTGGCAAGGCAAGGCAGGGCAGCGCAATACTAGTCCGTGTCTTGTACTTAGAGCTTGAGTTTTGCTTTTCGAAATCTGCGTCTTATTGTCCCAGTCTCTCTATCTTTCTAGTGTCCCATACCTGCTCATCTACGCATCGCCCAACGCCTTTCACTGTCATTTGCACTTGGTCTTCGCCTGACGTTACGAACGAGCCGATTGCTCCGGTCTTTTGCGCTACGAGCTGCGAGTTCTGGTGGAAGCGCCATGGCGGATGAGGTGTCGCTCGCTGAGCAGGTTCGCTCGGACCTTTCGAGTCTAATGCTTCTAGTTTTTGGCACAGTCGGGTCCCGATGCGTCACCTTAGCCAGACAAACCGGTTGTCACCTTGCTTACCGTCTGTTTGGCTGTTACGTAACGACTTTTTCATGGTCTCTTCGACTGCCTCGTTAACAGTTACACCGCGCATGTGTTTCCGCGTTCCTGTTCCTTCCTCATGCATGCGTCCTGCATTAACTACTTTCCAAATCAATCGTGACGGTTTGTGGTCCAGCATGCACTCCGTCCCCCACACTTGATCACTTGACATAAGACCCTTGCGGATGTGCTCACACGTGCCGTGCGCCACCATCCATGCTCCTTGATTTAGCTCGAGCATACATGGTCCATGATCCATGATTGCCGAATTGCCACCTTCGTTTATCAATGATCCGTGCAGGAGGCTCGGTTGAAGAAGAAGTACGGCGGGGCTCTGCCTAAGAAAAAAGGGCTGCTTTCCAAGGTGTTACGCCGACCTTCTGCCTTCTGTTCCCTCTCCTTATGATGCACGTTTTTTAACTTCGTTTGCTGGTCTGCTTGCGTCGATAAAGCTTATGATTAAACAGTCTGCTCCGGTTCCTTCTTTATTTGAAACGCCTAATCTTGGTGTTCGATGTATTCCTATTCGTCGGGTCAGTTCTCTTTGTTGTAGGAGCTCATGAATACTCACCCGCTTGCCACGCGTCTTCCGCCTCGTGTACTCGCAGGGCCACGAGAGGGCCTTTTTCGACTCCGCCGAGTGGGCCATCCAAAAGGTACGATCGCGTCGTAACGTATTGCGTCGCATTTTATTGCATTCTGCCGCATTGCATCGCGTCTGCTTGCTGGTCATCCCCACCTCAAATGTCTTCGCATCTGTTTCCTCTCCGTGCCTTTGGTGTGCTTCCACTAGCAGCAAAAGGGCGCCAAGCCGGCAGCACCGGCAGAGGAGGGTCTGCAGCCGAAGCTAGAGGTACGGAAGCGTGCTAGGTTCCACGCGTTAGGGTTTTGTCAATGAAAAACGAGGGGAAAAGAGATCCACTCACACACGCACAGAAAACAACGACAACAACAACAGCTTTTTCCAATGTATGGTAAAGTCATCCACATCCATTGATGTAAGGCGTACCCCAGGTGCATGCAAATGTTGTTTGTGCAAGCATATACTTCCCTCGCTGCCTCGCTAGTTCACCATGAGAGTGACATGCATTGTCTGATATGCCTGCTACGTGGATTGACTTGCGTTTCGCGTGCATCCAGCCTACCCCACATCAACCTGCCACGGGTCGTCGCTCCGGACTGGCTGAAAATTGACTCATGACTTGGGGCTTGTTCTCGCACTCTGCACATACACATGGTCAGTGATTTCGTGTGAATGGTGATCGTTTTGGTGTTGTAGCATCTCACATTTGCTTCACGTTCTTGGCACTTCATTGCTGAATTCTCAAGGCTAGAGTGCATAACTGACTCTAGCGCAGTCCTGTCTCTGTTTGTTGTTGCTGCAGGCAGCAGGGAGCTGACCAGCTACTGCGCCTACCCATGAACATGACCTCTTCTGCACTACCCATGACCTGTCCTTTCTATGGCCTGACTTGCCCACCAAAGCATTTTTGGCTCCATACTGCCTCTCAAAGCGCCTCCCGTCTTGTGAACACACATTGACAGGCCCCGCGCCAAGATGACACGTGTCAAGACATGTTTTCTTTTTGTCACCACTCTTGTACAATGATCCCTGTACCGGCACCACTTCGTGAAAGCATTGGCTTACATACAGAGCCTGGTATGCAGGGTTTTTTGGGTTGCGAAGCAACCTATTACAATCGTTATGTACAATTTTTTTTTTCAATCCTCAATACCTTTAAAAAATAGAGGGAAAAAATATAGTGAACGGTACTAGCTAAATGACTGACTGCTATGTATCTGCCGCGTCAATTTACCACGTGCTGAACCACATTCCTTCTCATTTCCTAGTTTACTTTGACTGAACCTATATTTCATGAGCTGCCAAAATGATGTACTGTGAATGCATAACTGTTTATTCCGTGATGCATATGTCTGCTGTTGTTATAAGTAGATGAAGTAAATGCAAATGCATAAGTATAATGCATATACGGTACTACCGGTACCGTAATGAAATAAATGCACAGCATGATGGAAGTGCGTAACAGTTAATTGACGCAGACCCTATGCTACCGCATCCCCTGCCTAGCATGGGGGGGAGCTCAATAGCATAATTTCTGAATCATCCAACTGTTACATGAAACAACACAATCTGTGTGATATAAAAAACAGGTCAATTCCATCAAATCCAGTTCGAATGGACACACTCACTGAGTGCGCAAAGAACCTTCTCGGAAATGATAGTTTGATCCCAATTTTTAAACCCCACAGACATGTGTTATTAATGCAATGGAAACATGAATGAAAACGCATACGCATACAACACAACGCATACACATGATCATACACATTCACACAGACACGCACGCACGAAGTCAACTGACAAAGCATATTAACCGCATATGAAATAGAAACCTAAATCACCAAGACATTATGTATCCTATACTGTAAGTCACAAGCAATATCAGTCTACTTCTCATATTGAGCTCGACTGCCTGAAAAGTAAGACAAAGCTGGGTTGAGGAAGGGAAGGCAAATGGGAAATAACAAGGCATAATGAAATTACAAGAAAAAGGAATAATGAAGAAACAAATGAAACAATACAAGGGCCAAGAAAAACGCCATGAGCATTGAAGGGTTAGAGCTGACAAATGACAAGGAGAAAATGTACTAAGGCATAAAACGAAAGTAAAGAAAGAGAACAAAGGGAAAAACACATGACCAGACAGTAAACGAACGAAGAGAATATAACAAATACGTTGAGCGAGAACAACGGAGACCGAGAGCGAGAGCGAGAGCGAGAGAGAGAGAGAGAGAGAGAGAGAGAGAGAGAGAGAGAGAGAGAGAGAGAGAGAGAGAGAGAGAGAGAGAGAGAGAGAGAGAGAGAGAGAGAGAGAGAGAGAGAGGACGAGAGAGCGAGAACGAGAGAGTGGACGAACGAGAGAGAACGAACGAGAGATTCGACAAAAGAGAACGAGAGAACGACAGAGACGGAACGAGAGAGAGAGAGAGAGAGAGAGAGAGAGAGAGAGAGAGAGAGAGAGAGAGAGAGAGAGAGAGAGAACGAGAGAGAGAACGAGAGAGAGAACGAGAGAGAGGGAACAAGAGAGAGGGAGAACGAAAGAGAGAGAGAGAGAGAGAGAGAGAGAGAGAGAGAGAGAGAGAGAGAGAGAGAGAGAGAGAGAGAGAGAGAGAGAGAGAGAGAAAGAAAGAGAGAGAGAGAGAACGAGAGAGAGAGAGAGAGAGAGAGAGAGAGAGAGAGAGAGAGAGAGAGAACGAGAGAGAAAGAAAACGAGAGAGAACGAGAAAGAGAACGAGAGAGAGAACGAGAGAGAGAAAACGATAGAGAGAGAACGGGAGAGAGAGAACGGGAGAGAGAGAACGGGAGAGAGAGAACGGGAGAGAGAGAACGAGCGAGAGAGAACAGGAGAGAGAATGGGAGAGAGAGAACGAGCGAGAGAGAACGGGAGAGAGAGAACGGGAGAGAGAGAACGGGAGAGAGAGAACGGGAGAGAGAGAACGAGCGAGAGAGAACGAAATGGACTGAACATGCAACCTATTACAATCTTTATGTACAACCTAAGACGAGGTTGAGAAAAAAATGAACTAAAACATGCAAATATGAAGAAAAGGCAACCGACGAGAGGAAAAGTTTAAGGATGAAGAATAGAAGAAACAGATGCAAGCTTATGCAGGAAGGAGAACCTGAAATCTTTACAAAGGGCCGAGAACCTAAGTTTAAACAACTAAGTCTCGCTAATACTCATCCATTTACACGGCTAGGATACGGAATGACTAAATGTTAGTCTATCTAATAGGCATCTAATTTAGTTGGAGTTAAAGTTGAGGGATCTTCTTACCTAAGTTGCAGTTAGAGTAGGTGGAGAAGTTGGTAGAGAGTGACGAGCGAGGAGAAGCGGGAGAAAAAAAGGGCGAACAAACTCTAAGGTAGTCTCAGATTCGTCGCATTTTTTTAATTTTTTTAAACTTTAGCTATTCGTAGCAAACATCTGTGATGTAGCAGTGGTACAAGGCTTGGAGTGAAATCGAAAAGTCTTCGGTTCGAATCCCAATCGCGTTATACATTTTTGACCTTTTCCTGGTGAGAGGAAGTACCACTTAGTGTCATACTACAGCATTATGTACAGAATTAGAAGTTGTACAAATTTATATAATTGCGCAAAACGCTTCGCAACCCTAAGACGAATTCGTCGCCTCTTGTTTTTTTTCGGATTTTCACTACTCGGATTTCCAGAGCTGTTTTCTAGGGAACTCTGAAATTCAGGGTTCATTATGAGCGTTACTCTGATTTGTCAGGGAAAACTCCACTTCTGAAAACTTTACTATGGGCACCCAGTGTACCTATTTTTCCAACTCTGAGGTCGTATCCCTGCCTAGTGTCAAGAAGTTAGTGTCAAGAAGTGCTCGCACCCTATTGGTCCAGAACAAATTTCCGGCCAATGCGATTGGTCAATCGTTTTTTTTAACCAATCGCATGCGCAAACTTCTTGACACCAACTTCTTGACACTAGGCAGGGATACGACCTGAGTGCCCTCTCAAGTATTGAACCCAGGCCTTTTGCACTCCTACCAAAAATCTACGGTAACCGTAGTGCTACGCGTTCATCGTTAGACTTATTTACGGACATTATATATTCTGCTTGACCCACCAATTGGGGGAAGGGAGTGTCGGTCGAAATGCCTATACCCTGTACAGAGAAAAGTACATCCGCCACAAATATTATAATTTTTAAACACACGAAGTGTTTTTCAAAATTACGTATTTCGAAAGCGCAGCTGCTTGTAACGCATGTTTTGGCATCGTCGAAGCGCGCTAAACGCCCTTCTCCAACTACAAATCGTGGGTTGGAGCTCATTTCCCTCCACCCACGTCTCTCGTTTTCCAACGGCTCATGCAACTCCATTTTCTCGAGCTCACTTCTAGTTTTACCGTTCAAGCTGGCGAGGACTCGCTCATTACCTAGAGGCGTTTCTCCTTCAACTTTATTAGCCGACATCCTTAACCAAAACCGCTCAACGATGGCTGCGACGCCGACGCTTAACCGTGCTAACAACATCGTTGCCGACGACCCGATAATTTCCGACAACGACCGTGATGCCCGTGAAACGACGGGCGAGCGTCGCAACAAGCGCCGGGCAGACGGCGAAACATCCGCCCCGACCGCCGAGGACGTGCTGTTGGGCGGGCTCGAAGTCAACAAAAACGCCGAGCAGCACCCCCAGCACCCTTCGGCGCCTGTGGCGCCAGTGGCACCTGTGGCGCCAGTGGCGCCTGTGGCGCCAGTGGCGAACGTGGCGACACACGCCGCGGACGCGGAGCACGCGCCAGCGGCACACGCCTCCGGCCGGCCGTCGCGTCAGCGCCAGAGGCGCCGTACGGCTGCCTCGTCTGACGCGACGGCTGACCAGGCCTTGACCGAAGCGTTGACCCCGGACCAAGTCAAGGCCCTCCTGTCCTGTCAAGATATGTAGCTAGGGTGTAGCCTTAGGAACCATGTTGGGGGTAGAGTGTGAGAGAGTTGGCAATGAAAGAGGACTTCACTATAGAGCTAAGGGTACAAATATGATAGGAAAGGGGGTAATCCACCAAACAGAATGTGATAACTACACTACTGCTATATCTACATGCAGTTACAATAATATAACTCTGACATCCCCCCTTAACTGCATGCAGGAATAGCAAAGCATAAATCACAACCCGGAAGTGTACTCAAAGCATTAGCACGCAAGAGCAATGACAACCAGTGCAGCAGTGGCAGAAACAACAGCAGAAACCCCTTAGCCAATACAGAAACGAAAGAAAGGTGCATGTGGCGCAGGTCGCCTGGAGAGCGGCGTGCGGCGGCAACAAGCGGCGGCACAGCAGGCTCAACGGCAGCACCTGCCGCTCAACAGCAGCAAACGAAAGAGACGAATTAAGTGGCAACAGGGGCTGCAGCTGGAGATGCCACAGGAGCAGGGGGTGGCAGTTGCAAATGCAGGGCTGCTGCTTCTGCCACTCTCTCTCTCATACCCTCCTTTATCCCCCCTTACCCTCTCTCCCCCCCCCCCTCCCCTCAGCAACAATTGCTGCAGGGAGAGAGGAAGAGGGAAGGGAGGGAGGAGCGGCAGGCTCCTCACACCCGCCCCCTCCCCCCAACCCCCCCCCCCACGACGGAAGGGAAGGGCGGAAT